ATTTTTATATTAATTTATTTTTGTTACAGATGTTTCTCCTTTTCTTCCCCATTGACACCCTCCTCTCCATCCCCCCACCCCATCCCCAGCTTTGTGGTCCATGTCTATTGGTTATGCGTGCATGCATGTAAGTTCTGTGGTTTATCTCTTTCCTCCCCCCACCATCCCCTCTTCTGAGGGTTGGAGTTTCTTTTCTAAAAAAATTTTTTTTGAATGCATTAAAAATTCTTTGTGGTGATAGTTATTCTTAATACTTTTCTTTTACACTAGGGTTAAAGTGATCAGTGTGCCATCACACAGTAATACATCATTCTGTGTTCATCTACATAGAGTTGACCATTGAACAACACAGGTTTGAACTCTGCACGTCCACTGATTTGTGGATTTTTAAAATCTGTATTGTCCAAGGGTCAACTGTATTTACCGTTACCAGAGAGATTTACATTTCATATGCTTTTGTGTCTCTTTAGTGTTTATTCATTTCAATTTGAAGACCCCCCCTTTTTTCGTTTGTTTTGTTTTTTTTTATCCTCTCCTGAGGACATTTTTCCATTTTTTTGTTCAGATAGAGTGGGAGGGAGAGAGAGGAAGAGAGAGAAACATTGACGTGAAGGGACACATCGAGTGGCTGCCACCCGCACGACCAACCAGGGCCGGGGACAAACTGCAACTGAGGTACATGCCCTTAGCGGGAACCGAACCCGGGTCTCCCTGAACCACAGGCCAACGCTCTAACCGCTGAGTCAAACTGGGCAAGGCAAAGAACCCCCTTAAACACTTCTTGTAAAGCAGGTTTACTGGTGACAGAATCTCAGAAAGTCTTTCCCACTCCTTTATTTTTAAAGGACAGTTTTTCCAGGTTTAATTGTTTTGGTTGGCAAGGTTTTGTGTGTGTGTATGTTTAATTTCAGTATTTTTCCCTTTTTATTCTGGCCTGCAAGATTTCTGGTGAGAAATCCACTTGTCTTATCAGAGTTCCCTTATATGTGATAAGTGGCTTATTTCTTGCTGCTTTCAAAATCCTCTTTTCTTTGACTTTGATAATTTAATTTTAATGCATCTTGGTATAGCCCTCTTTTGATTCAATCTGTTTAGAGGCTTTTGGGCTTCATGAATGCATTTCTCCCCCAAATTTGAAAGATTCTGTAGCCTTTCTTTCTTTCTTTAAATTTTTAATTTTTTTCAATTTGTTTACATTCAGTATTATTTTGCATTCATTTTAGGTGTACAGCATAGTGGTTAGACAATCATATATTTTACAAAGTGGTCCCCCCCCCCCGATATTTCCAGTACCCAACTGGCACCATACATAGTTATTATAATATAATTGATTATATGTCCTGTGCTGTAATTTACTTCCCTGTGACTGTTCTGTAACTACCAATTTGTACTTCTTAATCCCTTCACCTTTTACACTCTGTCTCTGAATTGCCCTCCACTCTGGTAACCGTCAGTCTGTTCTCTGTATCTAGGAGTCTGTTTCTATTTTGTTTGTTTATTTTGTTCTTTTGAGTCCAGATACAGTGAAATAATATGGTGTTCGCTTTTCTTTGTCTGGCTTATTTCACATAGTATAATACCTTCTAGGTCCATCCATGCTGTTGTAAAAGGTAAGATTTTATTCTTTTTTATGGCCAGTAGTATTCCATTGTGTATAAGTACCACAACTTTTTTATCCACTTGTTTGTTAACGGACACTTGGTTTCCTTCCATATGTTGGCTATTGTAAATAGTGCTGCAGTGATCATGGGGGTGCATATATTCTTTCAGATAAGTCATTTGGATTTCTTAGGATATAAACCCAGAAGTAGAATTGCTGGGTCATAAGGCAGTTTTTAAAATTTTTTTTTTTTTTTTTTTTTTTTAATCCTCACCAGAGGACATTTTTCCATTTTTTGTTCAGGTAGAGTGGGAGGGAGAGAGAGGAACAGAGAGAGAGAGAGAGAGAAACATCGATGTGAAAGGAGCACATCGAGTGGCTGCCACCCGCACAACCGACCAGGGCTGGGGACAAACTGCAACCGAGGAACGCGCCCTTAGCGGGAACCGAACCCGGGTCTCTCAGGACCGCAGGCCGATGCTCTAACCGCTGAACCAAACTGGCCAGGGCAGTTTTTTTAAATTTTTGAGGACCCTCCATACTGTTCTCCATAGTGGCTGCACCAATTTGCATTCCCACAAACAGTGAACAAGGGTTCCCTTTTCCCCATATCCTCACTAATAGTTGTTTGTCGATTTATTGATGATATCCATTCTGACAGGTGTGAGGTGATATCTCATTGTGGTTTTAATTTGCATTTCTCTGATGATTAATGATGTTGAGTAACTTTACATATGTCTGTTGGCCATCTGTATGTCCTCATTAGAGGAGTGTCTGTTCAGAGCTTCTGCCCACATTTTAATGGGGTTGCTTGTTTTTTTGGTGTTGAGTTGTCTGCGTTCTTTATAAATTTTGGTTATTAACCCCTTATCATATGTATCATTGACAAATATCTTCCCCCATTCAGTAGGTTTTCTTTTCGTTTTGTTGATGGTTTCCCTTTTTGTGCAAGAACTTTATAGTTTGATGTAGTCCCATTTCCTTCCCTTGCCTGAGAAGATGTCAGAAAAAATATTGCTGAGAGAAATGTCAGATTTTATTGTCTATGTTTTCTTCTAGGAGTTTTGTGGTTTCAGGTCTTACATTTAAGTTTTTAATTTATTTTTAGTTTATTCTTGTATATGGTGTAAGATGGTGGTCTAGTTTTATTGTTTTTGCACATATCTGTCCAATTTTCTCAACACCATTAATTGAATAGATGGTTTTTACTCCCATTATATGTTCTTGTCTCATTTGTCAAATATTAATTGATCATAGAGGTGTGGTTTTATTTCTGGGTTCTCTATCTAATTTCATTGATCTGTGTGTCTATTTTTATCCAGTACCATGCTGTTTAATTATTATAGCCTTGTGGTATAGTTTGACATAAGGTAGTGTGATACCTCACACTTTGTTCTTCCTTTTCAAGATTGCTGATGCTTTCAAGGTCTTTTGAATTTCCATACAAATTTTTGGATCATTTGCTCTAGTCCTATGAAAAATGCCTTTGGTGTTTTTTTTAGGAATTACATTTAATTTTTAGATTGGTTTTGGATAGTACGGACCTTTTAATGATGTTAATTCTGTCTATCCATGAGCATGGTATATGCTTCCACTTATTAGCATCTTCTTCAATTTCTTTCTTTAATGTTTTATAATTTTCTGAGTACAAGTCTTTTACCTCCATAGTTGAATTTATTCCTAGGTATTTTGGTGTGATTTTTATGTGATTGTAAATGGGATTGTTTTCTTAGTTTCACTTTCTGATAGTTCATTATTGGTGTATGAAAGTACAATTTATTTCTGAACACAGGGTCAGGCAAAAGAATTTTTACAGCTCATATGGAAAGTAATAAAATAATAATAATACAAGGATAAACTCTGTGTATTACATGCTCACAATTGTAAACCTAACTTTGGCCCAGCCCTGCATTTATTTTGTATCCTGCTACTTTACTGAATTCATTTATCAGTTCGGGTATTTCTTTTTTGGTGAAATCTTTGGGATTCTTTTTTTTTATCCTCACCCAAGGACATTTTTTTCTCTTTTTTTACATTTATCTTCAGATAGAGCGGGAGGGAGGAAAAGAGAGAGAGAAACATCAATGTGAGAGAGACACATTGACTGATTGCCACCCACATGACCCCAAAAGGGATTGGGGACGAACTGCAACTGAGGTGCATGCCCTGAGTGGGAACCAAACCCAGGACTTTCTGGTCTGCGGGCCGATGCTCCAGCCGCTGAGCCAAACTGGCCAGGGCGGGATTCTTTACATATAGTATGTCATCTGCAAATAATGACAGTTTTTTCCTCTTCCTTTCCAGTTTGGATTTCATTTATTTCTTCTTCTTGTCTGATTGCAGTGTCTAGGACTTCTAGTACTGTGGTCAATAAGAGTGGTAAAAGTAAACATTGCTGTTTTGTTGCTGATCTTAAGGGAAACAATTTCAGTTCTTCCTTATTGAGTATGATGTTGGTTGAGGGTTTGTCATATATGGCTTTTATCATGGTCAAGTGTGTTCCCTCTGTTTCCACTTTGCTGAGAGATATTAATCATAAATAAGTGCTGGATTTTGTCAAATATTTTTAGTCATTTATTTTCATGATCATAAGATTTTTTTTTCCTTCATTTTGTTTATGTGGGGTGTCATGTTGATTGATTGGCAGATGTTGAACCAGCCTTGCATCTCAGGAATAGATCCAATGTTATCATGGTTTAGGATGTTTTTAATGTACTTCTGAACTCAGCTGGCAAATATTTTGTGTCTTGGTTCATCAAGAATAGTGGCCTATAATTCTCGTTCTGTGTAGTGTCTTTGCCTAAACTACAGAAAGTAAGCAACTTAGAAGGTGTCAAGATATCTGTGTGCCACGGAGTAAACCATGTGTGACTTCATGATGTCATTCTCTGTTTACAGGGAGCAATAGGGTTGCCCATTGTTCTGTCTAAAACCTATTGTTTTAAAGCTGGGGATAATGAGTATGGCTCTCCTTCACCTTTCATGACAAATGCTGTGCATGTGTGTGAAGTAAAAATTGTATGACTGGTTATTTTTATTTCTCTTGAATCGATAGTGCTCAGACATTTGTTGGTTCACTTCTTTATTTACTATTCATTCATTTGTTTCATTCCTGGAATGATCATTACCACATAAATGAGCAACATGCATTAGCTTCAGTTGCAAAAGTGATGAAATAGGTCATTTAGCCAGCCGTTTTGCTCCTCTTTCTCCAGGTCCTGTTTGAAAAAAAAAAAAAAAAGTTTTTGCTGGGCCCAGAGCTTCCTGGGCTCTCTGCGTCAGGCTTGTTCCAGAACTGGAACTGCAGGTCTCCAGCCCCCCTGCGTCCTCAGTCCCAGGAAGCATCTCTGGTGAGCATGTCAATGGGCCACAGTCTTGATGCTTCTGAAGTGCCTTCGTTGGGTCAATGATGAGAACTCACATTGTCTTGAAGAGAGGTGATGACTTAAAATTCATGCTCAATGGGATTACGCTGGGCACAGTGCAGGTGACAGTTTGGTGGCACCATGTTGGGGAGTCTTATTTCCCTCTAGAGCAGTGGTTCTCAACCTGTGGGTCACGACCCCTTTGGGGGTCAAACAACCCTTTCACAGGGGTCGCCTAAGACATAAAAGTAGCAAAATTACAGTTATGAATTAGCAACGAAAATAATTTTATGGTTGAGGGTCACCACAAGATGAGGAACTGTATTAAAGGGTCGCGGCATCAGGAAGGTTGAGAACCATTGCTCTAGAGCCATGGGGTTGGACTCCTGAGGCAGCAGTTTCTTGATAGACTTTGGGGTGCCTCTACCCGGCCACCTGACCACTTCCCGGTGAACACAGCCTGCTCATGTTCATAGGTGTTTTTGGTGCCACATAGTTCCTCAGAGAAGGCCACACTCAAGGGCAACTTTTAAAACTTCTTTTCTCATTGTGTCTTGCAGTAACACTATTTCTCAAGGTGGGAGGTGGTTGCCTTACTATTTAAGGTGAGTGGGTGTCTTGTGCCCTGGATAGAGACGAGATAGTACATGAGACTAAGCAGCAGGCTTCCTTTCAGGCAATAAAGATGTTTGTGTGCGCCCTGGCCAGTTTGGCTCAGCGGTTAGAGCGTCGGCCTGTGGTCTGGAGAGACCCGGGTTCGGTTCTCGCTAAGGGCATGTACTTCGGTTGCAGTTTGTCCCCGGCCCTGGTTGGTCGTGCGGGTGGCAGCCACTTGATGTGTCCCTTCACGTCGATGTTTCTCTCTCTCTCTCCCTTCCTCTCTCTCCCTCCCACTCTAGCTGTACAAAAATGGAAAAATATCCTCGGGTGAGGATAAAAAAAAAAAAAAAGATGTTTGTGTGCTTGCTGAAATCTTAGTATCGATGCAGGTTAAATTCTTTGTGACTGTCTATCCATGGGAATGGGACCAATAAAAGCCAAAGATTTCCTTCCTATCTGAAAAAAAAATCAGACTGAAAGGCAGTTAAGATCTTTCTTGGAGAGGAAAATGGCGGCGGAATGAATGGAAGCTACCCAGATGATCTCCCAGGACCAAACGGGAATTACAACTAAAATAAAGACAAATCTTCGGGAAAAAACCAACAGAAAAGCAGCAGGACAGGGCCATATAACCAGGGACACCAGTAGGATCTGCGGAGGTGCGAGAGGGTGGCAGGCTGGGAGCCCACGGACATCAGCAGTCTTAGCTGTGAGCAGTGCCCTCGGGGATAAAATACTAATCTTGCTCCACAGTGCAGAGAGCCGGAACAGAGCACTGGATTGACTACAGCCACTCACCTGGGCTCTGGCAGAAGGAGGGCAGGCTGGACTGGAACTCTGTGGGGACACCCGGGATTTGAAGGGCACTCAAAGTTTTTGCTGAGTAGCAGCCACAAAGGATGGTGGCCAGTGTGCTCCTTCCCAGAGCTGTGGGGAAAAACAGCAGCCCCTCCCTCGGAGATTTAGCCTTATCCAGGTGAGGCAAAGAAAAGCAAATTGAGGCTCATTAACAACCAGCCTCTATCCCACCCCCTGGAAATCCTCTTACACAGAACACCAGGGCTACATTCCAAGGCCCTGAGTAACTGAGACTACTAGCCTCCAGGCAGAAAGCTAGAGGATAATTGAACCTTTCCTGGGCTTACAGATCTACTCAGGAAAGTAAGACTTGACAGCAGTGTTTAATGTGGGCCCACCCAGGCTCATCCAACCCAGTACAGGGAGCCACAAACAGCAGAACACCAACACCCACAGGGAAAATTTGGCAGGCTCCAAAACCCACTGAGAGATAGCCCAAATGGTGAAACAAAGAAACAAATCCCAAATGAAAGAACAAGATAACTCTATAGAAGATGAGATAAATGAAATTCATTTAAGCAAATTATCAGAGGTAGAGTTCAGAGCCATGATTTTGAGGAAGCTCAACAGCATGAGTAAGGACATCACCACCATGAGTAAAGATATAGAAACATTGAAAACCAATCAAGTGGAAATGAAGAATGACAGAGCAGAAATAAAGAAGACATTGGAAGGACTAACCAGCAGAGTAGAGGAAGCTGAGGACCGGATCAGTGAATTAGAAGACAGCATAGAAAAAAATCAACCAATCAGAAAGCCAAAAGGAAAAAAATAAATAAAAAACAGGAAGATAGCTTAAGAGAACTGTGGGACAACTGGAAATGTAATAACATTTGCATCATAGGAGTCCCTGAAGAGGAAGAAAATTGGCAAAGGTTAGAGAATATATTTGAAGAAATAGTGACAGAAAACTTTCCTAACTTGGTGAAGGAAGAAGGCATTCAAGTCCAAGAAGCACAGAGAGCCCCAAGTAAGAAGAACCCAAACAGGCCCACACCAAGACACATAATAATTAAAATGCGAAAAATTAAAGACAGAATCCTGAAGGCAGCAAGAGAGAAGCAACAGGTTATCTACAAAGGAAACCCCATAAGGCTCTCGGCTGACTTCTCAACAGAAACACTACAGGCCAGATGGGAATGGCACGAAGTAATCAAGGTCGTGAAAAACAAGGATCTGAATCTAAGACTACTCTACCCAGCAAGGCTGTCATTCAACATAGAAGGTCAAATAAAGAGCTTCCCAGACAAAAAAAAGGCTAAGGGAATGTATTAATACTAAACCAGCACTACAAGATAAGCTAAAAAGGACTGCTGTAATTCGTAGAAGGAATAGGAAGAAAAATATAATCACACTAAACAAATATAGCAATAAATAAGTACATATCAATAATCACCTTAAATGTAAATGGTTTGAATGCTCTGAAAAAGACACAGAGTAGCTAACTAGATAAGAAAGCATGACCCACATTAATGTTTACAAGAGACCCACCTCACAACAAAAGACTCACATAGCTTGAAAGTGAAGGGATGGAAAAAAATATTTCAAGCAATCGGAAAGGAAAAAAAAGCTGGGGTAGCAATACTCGTAACTGATAAATTAGATTTCAAAATGAAGGCCATAACTAGAGATGAAGAAGGCCACTACATAATATTGAAAGGATCTATCCAACAGGAATATATAACCTTGGTAAACATATATGCACCCAATATTGGAGCACTAAAATATATTGAAAATCTTCTGGAGGAGACTTCAAAGGAGAAATCGACAGCAATACAATCATAGCAGGAGACTTCAACACCATGCTGACATCACTGGATAGATCGTCTAGACGAAAAATTAACAAGGATACATAGACTCTAAATGAAGCACTAGATCAAATGGATTTAATAGATATCTACAGAGAATTACACCCCAAAACTGCAGAAATCACATTCTTCTCAAGTGCACATGGGACATTCTCAAAGATAGACCACACGTTAGGGTACAAACTAAGTCTCTACAAGTTCAAGAAGATTGAAGTCATATCAAGTATCTTCTCAGATCACAATGGCACGAAACTACAAATCATTTGCAACAAGAACATGCAAAGATGTTTGAAAACATGGAGGCTACTAAATAGCATATAATTGAACAATAAATGGGTTACCATGGAGATCAAGGAAGAAATTAAAAACTTCCTGAAAACCAATGAAAATGAACACACAACAACACAAAATCTATGGGATGCAGGGAAAGCAGTTCTGAAAGGGAAGTTCATAGCACTACAGGCCTACCTCAAGAAACAAGAAAATTTTCTAATTGACTATCTAACGTCACAATTTAAAGAACTAGAAGCAAACAAAAGGAAAAACCCCCAAGCAAGTAGAAGGAAGGAAATAGTAAAGATCAGAGCAGAAATAAATGACATGGAGGACCCCCCCCAAAAAAAATCAAAGGATCAATGAAACAAAGAGCTGGTTCTTTGAAAAGATAAACAAGATTGATGGACCTTAGCTAGACTCACCAAGAAACAAAGAGAGAGAACCCAAATAGGCAAAATCAGAAATGAAAGAGTAATAATAACTGCCCTCGCTGGTTTGGTGCAGCGTTTAGAGCGTCGGTCTGCAGTCCAGAGAGACCCGGGTTTGGTTCCCACTAAGGGCATGTACCTCGGTTGCATTTTGTCCCCAGCCCTGGTTGGTCGTGCGGGTGGCAGCCACTCGATGTGTCCCTTCCATATCAGTGTTTCTCTTGCTCTCTCTTCCTCTCTCTCCCTCCCACTCTATCTGAGCAAAGAAATGGAAAAATGTCCTCGAATGAGGGTAAGAAAATAACTGACACCACAGAAATACAAAGGATTTTTAATAAATATTACGAACAATTATATGGCAACAAGTGAAATGGACAAATTTCTAGAAACATATAGTCTCCCAAAACTGAATTGGGAAGAGATAGAAATCTTGAACAGACCTATAACAACAGAGGAATTTAAAGATGTAAACAAGACTCTCCCAGCAAACAAAAGCCCAGGCCCGGACAGCTTCATGGGGGAGTTTTACCAAACATTCAGAGAACTAATACCCATTTTCCTCAAACTATTTCAAAAAAATTCAAGAAGAAGGAAGACTTCGGAAGTCATTTTATGAGGCCAGAATTATTCTAATTCCAGAACCAAAAAAAAGACACTACAAAGAAAACTACAGGCCAATATCCCTGATGAACATAGATGCCAAAATCCTGAACAAAATACTAGGAAATTGAATCCAACAATACACTAAAAAAATATTCACCATGACCAAGTGGGATTCATCCCAGGGATACAAGGCTGGTACAGTATTTGCAAATCAATAAATGTGATACACCACATAAACAAAATAAAAGGTAAAAATCATATGATCATATCAATAGATGCTGAGAAAGCATTCGACAAAATCCAGCACCCATTTCTGATAAAAATGCTTAGCAATTTGGGCATAGAGGGATCATATCTCGACATAAAGGGATCATATCTCAACATAATAAAGGCCATATATGAAAGACCTACAGCCAACAGCATTTTCCTTAAGAACAGGAACAAGACAAGTGTGCCCGCTTTCGCCACTCTTATTTAACATAGTACTGGAAGTCAGGCACAGCAATCAGACATGAAGAAAAAATCAAAGGGATCCAAATTGGAAAGGAGGAAGTGAAATTGTCATTATTCGCAGTTGACATGATATTATACGTAGAAAACCCCAAAGACTCTATCAAAAATCTACTAGACTTCATGAATTTAGCAAAGTAACAGGATACAAAATTTACGTCAAGAAATCGGCAGCATTCTTATACCCTAATGATGAACTCACAGAAAGAGAAACAAAAAAAATATCCCAGACCTGGCCGGTTTGGCTCAGTAGTTAGAGCGTCGGCCTGCGGTCCTAAGAGACCTGGGTTCGGTTCCCGCTAGGGGCGCGTACCTCGGTTGCAGTTTGTCCCCGGCCCTGGTCGGTTGTGCAGGTGGCAGCCACTCGATGAGTTCCTTTCACATCGATGTTTCTCTCTCTCTCTCTCTCTCTGTTCCTCTCTCTCCCTCCCACTCTACCTGAACAAAAAATGGAAAAGTGTCCTCGGGTGAGGATAAAAATATATATATATCCCATTTACCATTGCAGCAAAAAAAAAATTGGAATACCTAGGAATAAACTTAACCCAAGAAATAAAGGACCTATTCGCAGAAAACTACAGGTCATTGAAAAAAGAAATAGAGGAAGATATAAAAAAGTGGAAGCACATACCTTGTTCATGGATTGGAAGAATTAACATCATTAAAATGTCCATAATACCCAAAGCAATCTATAGATTCAATGCAATCCCCATCAAAATACCAACATCATATTTCACAGAACTAGAAACAATACGGAAGTTCATATGGAACCAAAAAAGTCCCTGAATAGCCATAGCAATCTTGAAAAAGAAGGAAAAAGTAGGCGAGATCACAATACCAAATATTAGGTTATACTACAAAGCCACTGTAATCAAAACGGCCTGGTACTGGCATAAGAACAGGCAGATAGATCAATGGAATAAAACAGAGAACCCAGAAATGGACCCAAAACATTATGCTCAATTAATATTCAATAGAGGTGGCAAGAGCATACAGTGGAGTAAAGACAGCCTCTTTAATAAATGGTGTTGGGAAAATTGGACAGCTGCATGCAAAAAAAGAAACTAGACCATCAGCTTACACCATACACAAGAATAAACTCAAAATTGATAAGAGATTTAAATGTGACTCATGAATCCATAAAAATCCTAGAAGAAAACAGAGGCAACAAAGTTTCAGACATCATACGCAGCAGAATTTTCACTGATACATCACCTAAGGCAACAGAAACAAAGGAGAAAATGAACACATGGGACTACATCAAACTCAAAAGCTTCTGCACAACAAAAAAAAACAGCCACCAAAATGGAAAGGCAACCCATTCTATGGGAGAGCATATTTGCCAATAATACATTAGATAAGGGGTTAATTTCCAAAATATATAGAGTGCTCATACAGCTCAACAAAAGGAAGACAAAGAATCCAATTAAAAAATGGGCAGAGGAACTAATTAGACACCTCTCCAAACAGGACATACAAATGGCTAAGAGACATATGAAGAAATGCTCAGCATCACTAATCATCAGAGAGATGCAAATTAAAACAACAGTGAGGTATCACCTCACACCAGTCAGAACCACCGCCATCAACAAATCATCAAACAAGTGTTGGCGAGAGTGTGGAGAAAAGGGGACTCTAGTGCACTGCTGGTGGGAATGCAGACTGGTGCAGCCACTATGGAAAAGAATATGGTGTTACCTCAAAAAATTAAAAATTGCATTGTCATTTGACCCAGTGACCTCACTTCTAGGAATATACCCTAAGAAGCCTGAAACACCAATCAGGAAGAATATATGTTATCCCCATGTTCATAGCAGCACTATTTACAATAGCTAAGATCTGGAAACAGCCCAAATGTCCATCAGTAGACGAATTGATAAAAAAGCTGTGGTAGCCCTGGCCAGTTTGGCTCAGCGGTTGAGCGTCGGCCTGCGGAACAGAGAGTCCCGTGTTTGGTTCCTGCTAGGGGCACATACCACACACACACAAAAAAAGCTGTGGTACATGTACGCAATGGAGTACTATGCAGCCATAAGAAAGAAAGATATCTCATCCTTTGAGACGACATGGAGGGACCTGGAAAGTATTATTCTTAGTGAAACAAGCCAAACAGAAAAAGACAAGTATCATAAGATCTCATTTATTTGTGGAATATAATGAACATAAATAACAGTCTGAAGAACAGGATAGTCCCAGAGACATGGAAGTGGGGTACAGACACAATCCCCAGTAGAGGGGGTGGGGGAGAGATAGATAAAACACAGAACTTATATGCATGTGTGCATGAACAATGAACATGGACAGCAATGCTGGGGACAGGGCGGGGAATGAGGGGCAGAGGGTGTCAATGGGAGAAAAAGGAGAAACATCTGTAACAAAAATAAATTTAAAAAATCCAAATTGAATTGGGAAAAAAAAAAGATCTTTCTCAATGGGCTCTTGAACCACGGTCATGAGAGTTTGTGCAGAGCTTGGGGCCAGTAGTTTTCCTGTCTTTAATGGATGCTCAGTGTCATGGTCATTGTTTAAATTGCCCAAGATCTCTGTCAGAAAGAATCATGACCATGGCCTCCAGAGACAGAACTGCCTCAATTGGTCCCTTCTCATGGCGGTGCTTGCCAAACAGCGTTGAGCTTGGGATAACTAATGTGATGTTTACAGAACCGTAACGTTTCACCATGTCCACGGACAGAATTGTGGGGTTTGAAAATCCTGTTTTCTTCTGTTGGTTCGTTGCCCTCGTTGCTTCACCAAATTCAGGCCACTGGGTCGCCATTCGTAGTGTTTCCTCTCCTGTGAAGGTTGCCCAAAAAAATGCCACATGGAAATCTATTGAACCAACCGCGCAGGCCTGATGTTGAGAATATTTCAAAGTTGTCGTTGTATCTTTACTTTGAACTAAAATTTATACAAAAACGAAGCCTCCAGTTGTATATCTCAGCGTGGAAACACGTGCATTGCTTCTTGAGGGATGTGTCAGATGTGAGCGGAGCTTGGACTGAAAGTGCCCAGCTGCTGTTCTGGCCTGGTCTGCAGGAGTCCATTTTGGCTGGAATACTGCAAGTGAGCAAAATTCAGTATGTCCAGATATCTGTGTCACGGAGCAAATCACACGTGACTTCATGTCTCATGCTCTGTTTTAACACGCGCAATAGTCGCCCATAGTTTCCTCTATGACCGCTCGTTTTGCCGCCAGGAAGGAGCAGTACGGCTTCTCTTCAGCTTTCATGACAAATGCTGTAGGTTGTGTAGTGAAAATTGTATGACTGGTTATTTTTGTTTGTCTAGAATCAATTATCAAAATGCTCAACTTTTCATTGGTTCATTTCTTCATTCCTTCGTTCATTTCTGGAATGATCGTTACCACATAAACGAGCAAAGGGCATTACTCTCAGTTCCAGGAGTGACAGACATGGTCATGGTGACAGCGGTCTTACTGCTCTTTCTCCAGGTCCTGTTCTCCGAAAAGTGGTTTCGTTTGGCCTATAGTTGCTGGGCCTCTGCGTCAGGCTGCTTCAGCACTGGAGCGGCAGGTCTCCAGCCCCCTGCGCCCGCAGTCCCAGCAAGCGTCTCTGGTGAGCATGTCAATGGGCCACAGTCCTGATGCTTCCGAAGGGCCTTCGCTGGGTCAATGATGAGAACTCACATTGTCTTGAAGAGAGGTGATGACTCAAACATAATCCTCAGAATCAGTCTGAGGCCCAGTGGAGGTGACAGTTTTGCGGCACCATGTTGGGGAGTCTGTTTCCCTCTAGACCACGGGATTGGGTTCAGTGTCCTGAGAGAACCGTGTGCTTCTCCCCGACCACGTCCACGTCAACACGGCCTGCTCGTGTTCGTGGGTGTATTTGGTGCCACATAGTTCCTCAGGGAAGGCCACACTCGAGGGCCCCTTTTAAAACTTCTCTCCTCTCATTGTGTCTTGCAGTGAGAGCATCTTCCGAGGTGGTGGCCACTGTCAGTGTTTAAGGTGAGTGGGTCTGCTGTGTTGGGCCGAGACAAGATAGACCTTGAGACCCAGCAGGAGGCTTCCCTTCGGGCCTTGAAGGCGTGTCTGTGCTCTGTGAGACCTCAGTGTCGATGAGGCTCAGTTCTTTGTGACTGTGTCCTTGGGCCTGGGACCAGTCAGAAGCCAACGATTTCCCCCCTTTCTGGAATGAATCAGACCGTGCGGGGGCTGAGGGCCTTCAGTGGGCTCCTGACCGCTGGCCTGTGAACGTGTGCCGAGTGTGGGGCCCGTGGCTCTCCTGTCCTCAGCCGATGCTCAGTGTCATGGGTCATGTTGGATTTCTCAAGATCTTTGTGTCAAAAAGGACCGTGACAGTGGCCCCCAGAGGCAGCCCCGCGGCAGTGATCCCTCCCCGTGGGTGTTTGTGTCCAAAGAGTCTTGAGCTTGGGGTCATTGAACCAGACCTTGTACAAAATGATACAGTTTTACCATGTCCATGGACAGAATTGTGGGCTTTTGAAAATCCAGGTGTTTTTTTTAATTATTTTATTGACCTTTTTTTCCTTTCTCAAACTCTGGCCTCTTGTTTTCCATTGATAGTGTTTTCTCTTTTGTTTTGGCTGCCATAAACCATGCTGCAGTAGAAATCCACCTTTGAGCCCGGCCCTTGTAGCTCAGGGGCTGAGTGTTGACCCATGTGCCAAGAAGTGGTTGGGTCGATTCCGGGTCAGGGCACATGCCCAGGTTGTGGGCCAAATCCCCAGTGGGCGCGTGCAGGAGGCAGCCAATCGATGGTTTCTCTCACCGATGTTTCTATCTCCCCCTCTAAAATCAATAAAGAAAAAACATTGTTTTAAAGGAATTTACACTTAAACTAAAGTTGGTAGGCCCAGTGTTGAAACTATTTCTAAATCATTGTTGTATCTTTACCTTGAATTTAATTTGCACAAAGATGAGGCCTCCAGGTGTGTGTCTGGGTGAGGAACACTTGCATGGCTTCTGCAGGGGTGTGGCAGCTGCGAGGGGACTCGGAAGGAAGGTGTTTGGGCCCCACCTGAAGGTTCCCCGGTGGGTGGGGTTGCCTGGAACACAGCCAGCGAGCAGAATGCTATGTGTCCCAGTGTCTGTTTCACAGAAGAAATCAGGAGAGACTTCATGTTGTCGTCCTCTGCTTTACCTCAAGCGATAGGTCTCCCCCATGGTTTCATCCATAACCTTTAGTTTTTAATGTCATGAATGACCAGTATGGTTTTTCCTCACCATTTATGACAAATGCTCTGTGTGTGAGTGTGTGTGTGTGAGTGTGTGTGTGTGTGTAGTAAATACAGCCATTTTATTTCTCTGTCTTGAATCAGTAGTACAGAGTCTCTCGCTTGTCACTTACTTACGCCTTTTGGGACCATCCTCACCTCACAGAGAGCACGTGCGTCTGCATCACTCATAGGAGTGACGAGCAGGCTCTGCAGAAGTCTGTCTGCATCTTCTTTATCCAGGTCCAGCTCGCAGAAACGATCCTCCTTTGTCGCAGAGGCTGGTAGGCACTGTTGTCGGGCTTCTTCTGGCGCTGGCTCTGTGCAGTCTGCAGGCCCCTGCCGTCCTCAGTCCCAGGAAGCGTCTCCGTGAGCACAGGAAGGTGCCGTCGTGCCGATGCCTCTGAAGAGCCTCCTTTGGGTCAGTGATGAGAACTGTCATCTCGTAGGGAGATGGTGACTTAAAGGTAAGTTTCAGTGTGAGTGTGCTGGGCCCTGTGCAGCTGACGGTTTGGTGGCGCCACGCTGGGGCCTTATTTCCTACTAGAGCCACGGGTTTGGGTCCTGAGGCAGCATTTTCTTGATAGAGTTTTGGGTACTTGTACCCGACCAGCTGACCACTTTCCGGTGAACACGGCCTGCTTGTGCTTGTGGGTGTTCTTGGTGCCACATAGTTCCTCAGAGAAGACCACACTCGAGGGCTACTTTTTTTTTTTTTTTAAATCTTCACCTGAGGACATTCTTCCATTTTTTGTTCAGACAGAGCGGGAGGGAGAGAGAGGAAGAGAGAGAGAGAAACATCAACGTGAAAGGGACACGTCGAGTGGTCGCCAACTGCACAATCCAACCAGGGCCGGGGACAAACTGCAACCAAGGCACACGCCCTTAGCGGGAACCGAACCCGGGTCTCTCTGGATCGCAGGTCGATGCTCTATCTGCTGAGCCAAACCGGCCAGGGCTCAAGGGCTTCTTTTAAAACTTCTCTCACTGTGTCTTGCAGTGAGAGCATCTTGCAAAGTGGTGGTCACTGCCTTAATGATTAAGGTGAGTGGGTGTCTTTTTTAAATATTTTTTATTGACTTTTTTAGAGAGAGAGGAAGGGAGAGAGAGAGATAGAAACATTAATGTGAGAAACATTGATTGGCCCGGCCAGTGTGGCTCAGTGGTTGAGCGTCGACCCTGCACCAAGAGGTCGCCAGTTCAGTTCCCAGTCAGGGCACATGCCCAGGTTGTGGGCCCGATCCCCAGTAGGGGGCGTGCAGGAGGCAGCCAATCAGTGTTCTCTCTCATTGATGTTTCTAGCTCTCTCTCCCTCTTCCTCTTTCTCAAATAGCAATAAAGAAAAAAAAATTTTTTTTTCTGAAAGAAACATTGATCGGCTGCCTCCTGCACGCCCCCTACTGGAGATCAAGACTGCATCCCGGGCAGTGTACCCTGCCCAGGATCAAATGGGGACCTCTCAGTCCATGGGAAAACGCTCAATCCAGAGCCACACCGGCTAGGCACGAGTGGGCATCTTTGTGTCGGACACACACCAGTCAGTCCCCGAGACTAGCAGGCAGCGTGCTCTGTGGCTGCATCGATAGCAGGTGATTCCTTTTGCGTCAGTTTTGGGAAGGGGACCTACGCAAATCCAGTAGTTTTCTTCCAATCTGAAATTAATCGCAATGTCTTGGGGCTAATTTATTTTTCAAGGGGATTCTGAACCACTTTTATATCAGATTATGCAGAGTTTGAGGACAGTAGCTCTCATGCTTTTGATAGATGATAATTGTTGTGGTCAGTTTTTGAATTTCACAAGGTCTTTGTGTCAGAAAGGGCCATGACTGATGTCCAAGATTGATGTGCATCAGTGAGCTGTTTTCATTGGGCTTTTTGCCAAACAGTGTTGAGCTTGGGATAACTGAATGTGATCTTTTACAAAACCGTAACGTTTCACCGTGTCCACAGACGGAATTGTGGGGTGTGAAAATCCTGTTTTCTTCTGGTGGTTCTTTGCCCTCATTGCTTCACCAAAATCAGGCCACTGGGTCGCCACTCATAGTGTTTCCTCTCCTGAGAAGGTTGCCCGAACAGATGCCACATGGAAATCTATTGAACCAACTGGGATAGGCCTGATGTGGAGAATATTTCAAAGTCATCGTTGTATCTTTACTTTGAACTCAATTTGCACAAGAATGAGGCCTCCAGTTGTATGTTTCATTAGGAAACACATTGCTTATTGAGGGATGTGTCAGATGTGACAGGAACTCGAGCCTGAACATGTATTTCTGGTGTTTCGGCTGCACCTGAAGGTTTCCGTGGTGGGCGGGATTGCCTGGGACACAGCCAGCGAGCAGAATTAATGTGTCAGGATATCTGTGTTTCACGGAGTAAATCACATGCCACGTCGTGTGTCAGTCTCTATTTTAACACACACACTAGGGTCGCCCAGTGTCACCGCTAAGACCTGTTGTTTTGCCGCCAGGAAGGAGCAGTACGGCTTCTCTTCACCTTTCATGAAATGCGGTGAAAATTGTATGACTGGTTGTTTTTGTTTGTCTAGAATCAGTTATCAAAATGCTCTGCTTTCCATTGATCCATTTCTTCATTCGTTCCTTCGTTTCTGGAATGATCGTTACCACATAAACGAGCAAAGTGCATTACTCTCAGTTCCAAGAATGACAGACATGGTCATGGTGACAGCGGTCTTACTGCTCTTTCTCCAGGTCCTGTTCTCCGAAAAGTGGTTTCGTTTGGCCTATAGTTGCTGGGCCTCTGCGTCAGGCTTCTTCAGCACTGGAACGGCAGGTCTCCAGCCCCCTGCGCCCGCAGTCCCAGCAAGCGTCTCTGGTGAGCATGTCAATGGGCCACAGTCCTGATGCTTCCGAAGGGCCTTCGCTGGGTCAATGATGAGAACTCACATTGTCTTGAAGAGAGGTGATGACTCAAACATAATCCTCAGAATCAGTCTGAGGCCCAGTGGAGGTGACAGTTTTGCGGCACCATGTTGGGGCATCTGTTTCCCTCTAGACCACGGGATTGGGTTCAGTGTCCTGAGAGAACCGTGTGCTTCTCCCCGACCACGTCCACGTCAACACAGCCTGCTCGTGTTCGTGGGTGTATTTGGTGCCACATAGTTCCTCAGGGAAGGCCACACTCGAGGGCCCCTTTTAAAACTTCTCTCCTCTCATTGTGTCTTGCAGTGAGAGCATCTTCCGAGGTGGTGGCCACTGTCAGTGTTTAAGGTGAGTGGGTCTGCTGTGTTGGGCCGAGACAAGATAGACCTTGAGACCCAGCAGGAGGCTTCCCTTCGGGCCTTGAAGGCGTGTCTGTGCTCTGTGAGACCTCAGTGTCGATGAGGCTCAGTTCTTTGTGACTGTCTGTCCTTGGGCCTGGGACCAGTCAGAAGCCAACGATTTCCCCCCTTTCTGCAATGAATCAGACCAAACGGGGCAGCGTTCTTTCTCAATGGGCACCAGGACAACTGACCTGTAAGTTTGTGCAGAGATTGCGACCAGTGACTCTCCTGTCCCTGATGGACACTGAATTCATGGCCGTGTTTGGAATCACTCCAGGTCTGCCAGAGAGGACCGCACCGCGGCCCCCGACGCAGAACGGCAGCCGTGATCTTTTCTCATGGGCCTCGCTGGCCAAGGGCTGTTGAGCTCCGATAACTGAATGTGATCTTTTGCAAAACCACAGGGTTTCACCATGTCTGTTGACAGAATTGAGGGGTTTTGAAAATCTTGTTTTCTTTTGTTGGTTCTTTGCCTTCGTTGCTTCCCCCCAGTCAGTTCATCACGTTTCCTCTCCTGTACGGGCGCCCTGAAGGGTGCCGGATAGAAATCTGTTCAAACAACTGTGACGGGCCTGATGCTGAGACTATTTCAGAATCCTTGTTGTATCTGTGCTTTGGACTCAGGGTGCACGGAAATGAGGCCTCCAGCCGTGGTCTCAGTGAGGCGACAGAACTGCTTCTGGGGGTGTGGTCAGAGTGACGGGAACTCGGGACTGACGGTGTATTGCTGGGGTTTGGTCCAGCCCGTGGGTTTCCATGGTGGGTGGGGGTTCCTGGAACAGGAAAAATGAGCAGAAATCCCATGTGTCCAGGTGTCTGTGTCTCGTGGAACATCGTGTGTGGCGTCATGGACTCGTTCTCTGCTCCCCCGTAATCAGTAGGGTTGCCCGGCGACTCTTCTGAGGCCCGAGGTTTCCAGTGGTTCCCGGCACCTTTCATGCAGGTGCGGTGGGTTCTCCAGGACCAGTAGTGCTCAGCTTTCCACTGGTTCTTTCCTTTTTTTTTTTTTAATTTACTTTTAGAGAGAGATAGAGACATCGATGAGAGAGAACATCAATTGGCCGCCTCCTGCACGCCCCCCACTGGGGGTCTCGCCCACAACCTGGGCATGTGCCCTGACCAGGAATCGAACCAGCGACTTCTTGGTGCAGGGTCAAAGCTCAACCACTGAGCCACACCAGCCGGGCTCGTTTCTTTTTTTATCCTCACCCGAGGACATTTCCCACTTTTTTTTGTTCAGATAGAGTGGGAGGGAGAGAGAGGAAGAGTGAGAGAGGAACATTGACGTGAAAGGGACACATCGAGTGGCCACTACCCGCACAACTCCACCAGGGCCGGGGACAAACGGCAACCGAGGTACGTGCCCTTAGCGGGAACCGAACCCGGGTCTCTCTCGACCTCAGGCCGATGCGCCAACTGCTGAGCCAAACCAGCCAGGGCTCATTTCTTTCTTTCTTTCTTTCTTTTTTTTTTTTTTTTAACGTTCTTATTGATGTTTTTAGAGAGAGGAAAGGAAAGAGAGACAGAAACATCGATGTGAGAGAGAAACGTCCATCAGTTGCCTCCTGCTCACCCCAGTGGGGATGGAGCCTGAAACCCGGGCATGTGCCCTGACCAGGAGTCCAACCGGGACCTCTCAGTCCCTGGGACGATGCTCAAGCCACTGAGCTGCACCAGCAGGTCTGGACCATATCTTTATTCATTTATTTGTCATTCATTTCTGGAACAATCATTACCATATAAATCAACAATGTGCATTGACTTCAGTTCCAAGAGTGAAGAAATAGGCTGTTTAGAAAGCGTCTTGCTTCTCTTTCTCCAGGTCATGTTCTCAAAAAGAGAGTTTCACTGGGCCTGGAGCTTCCTGGCTCTCTGTGTCCTGCCGCTTCCAGCACTGGGCTCTGGAGGTCTCCAGCCACCTGCCGTCCTCAGCCCAGCAGGCCTCTCTGGTGAGCACGTCCACGGGCCATGCAGCCCATCTCTGCAAAATGCCCTCCTTGGGCCAGTGATGAGAACTCACATTGTCTTGAAGAGAGATGATGACTTAAAAATCATTCTAAATGGGATTACGCTGGGCCCCGTGCAGGTGATGGTTTGGTGGCGCCCAGTGCGGGTGGAGGTTTGGTGACACGATGCTGGGGGCCTTATTTCCCTCTAGAGCCACGGGTTTGGGTCCTGAGGCAGCATTTTCTTGATAGAGTTTTGGGTGCCTGTAC